CGTATCTTCGGTGAATGGGCCAGTACTAAATCTTTGGAAGGCACTTTCAAGATGTAGCGCATAAGTGGAAGGCTGAAGCTGAGTTGCAATCGGAGGTTACTTCGTTCGGTCGTTGCGCGACTTGGGACTCCTACGACTCCTACGTTCATAACTTTTGTAATCGTATGTGCGAGCAAAAATTGACACATTTGCTCCAATTTACGAGAGCAATACGCACTTGCATTTACGGTCGATGGATCTGCAGAAAGAAATCCAGAGTATTGCCAGATGACGTGGCGACAGCGATTTTATCGGATCGCTTAAGGTGTGTCCGATGCTTGATTTAGAAGGGTCCATTTTGCCCAGCAACTGCCTTTAAAATTTTAAAAACAATGGCTCGACAATAACAGCAAGATATCAAAAAGTTTTGGGAGCTCAGTAGCTGTCTCCTAATGCTATTTGCGTTTTAAGGGAGTCGCGGATGGGCTCTGCCAGATCATGAAGATTGGTGTGTTTGCAGCCATTCACGCAGAATGCCACAAGGCCTCAGACCAGTTTAACATCTCCCGTACTTCTTAAAATAACTTCGAGTAATTGAAAGCCAACTTCTGAAAGCAGAAAAGCGTTTGACAGGAGGATTAACGGGTAGGGGACTATATGTCTCCGGAAGGGGGAGACATCTGCAACAAATATACATTCCAATACATGCACAGACTGAGTATCTGCTGCATTTTCCACCGGGAACCTCCCACTTTCGGCGATATATAGTCCTCTATCCAGGAACCACAATGAGATAAGTCAATGCGCGAGCGTGGCTGCAAACTCACCGATTTTCACGATCATGTAGAGCCTATACTTAGGAGAGCACAGCTAATGACAGCGGTTCAAGCTCAAAAAATTAGCTACCTATTGGCTGCAGCTCGTCCCGATACGCTTGTATTGCGCGGACCAGCATTCGAGCCGTTGAGGGACCCATCACCCTCCTGATAACCCGTACCCCGGCTTCTCAATAGCTTTAGGTGTAAAGAAGCTGAGGGTATGAGATTTGGCTTAGCAGCTTTTGATAGCAACTCTCCTATCCTTGGATGATGTGAGCATTCACCAGTGATGTTGTAGGGTTTCTTTCTGATAATATCTTATGGGCTTCGAAGCCCATGGACACATATGGAGAGCTGAATAAGGGCGGAAAATGATCAGAAATTCGAATGCCATCTTCATTTTGGAAATAAATATGCGAGTTCACGCACATACTCGGTTCAGAAAAAGTGGAAAATATTGTACTATATACATCATCGTTCGCGATAGAATGTAAGACACAAAGTCAAGTATCTTCGATGGTAGCTGAGCACAGTGCGCGTTCGAGGTACAGTCTGTGTCAATTATACTCCCTTTTGCGTAGAAATTATGCATCCGCAATGTGAATGCCTTGCGTGGGTGCGGACCTCCAATCAATGAAGCCAATCTTACCTGAGCTATACGTGCACGAATGCGAAAGCTCTGGTGTAGCGATTGTGCCAACGGAAAAGGGATTTTTGTAGGAGAATCTGCTAAGCTGTCACGCAGTCATGACTCACCTGTTCAGGGCGTGGTCAGTCATCGGCATAATCCTTACCTCGCAAAAGATATAAGTTAACTAATGAGTTTGATACCAGTCTTCTAATTTTGTTTTGAGTTTCACCTGCTCCTTTGTGGGGCAGTCAAGTGCACATTCTTTATCATTGCCGTTGACAGAATGCGGCTTCTTCTCGGTAAGCCTCATACGTTGCATAGGATCCCTCAGAGATCGGCTGTAATTGGGTCAAACTATGACTTTCATCAATGCTATCATTTTGAATGCCATGAAGACATTCAGTATATATAGACCATATGGCTGCTATCGTCAACATTCGTTTTCTGTGGAAATTCAAAAGAACCGTCTAACCAGAATCGCGAGTGTCAGCTACAACATGAATCCTCCTTCATGTGTAAGAAAGGAAACAAATACTTAGGCATGCATACCATTTTTTTAATGGTCTTTTGAAGACTGCCTATCCTTTTCCATGTCGAAGAAAGCAGTCATGTCCCGTACATGTTCCAAACGCATATGCTCCATTTCGATAGCTTTCTCTTGTGTCTTTTTAAAGTCCTGGGATGGCATCATAATTCTGAAACTGATAGAACGACCCGACCTTTCCAGCATGAATTCCGGGTTCACGCCTTTACCCGCAAGAGATGGGTAGAGAAACGAACACCTCGATTAGGCACCGCCTCCGAGGTCTGCTGGTCCTGCCCCCTGTTGTCCATCGTGCTAAGAGCAGTAGTCCGTGGAGGCGGTGCCTAATTGAGGTCGTTCCTCTTCCCGCAAGAGATTTAGCACCATGATAAGTAAGACGGAATTGTGAGTTCAATGGATCGTTGCACCCTTAATGATTTGCTTTGCCTAGTCAGATGGTCTATGTACTAAATGTCTTCAAGGGATTCAGAACTGGTAGCATTGATGAAAATCATAGTTTAGCCCAACCAGCCGGTCTCTGAGGGGCCTATGCAACATATGGGGCTTACCGAGAAGAAACCGCATTCTGTCGGCAATGATGAAAAATGTGCACCTGGCTGTCCAAATATGGTAAGGATTATGCCGATGACTGACCACGCCCCGAACAGATGAGTCATGGCCAGGACTCGGCACGCGTTGGTTTGGAGCGTTTCTGAAAA